TATATATTTGTAATGTTTTCTTTTTTCACATTAACTTAGAAGAATATCCAATACCATAATGTGTTTTTTTAAAAATCAGATGTTTAAAATGACTTCATGGCAAATAACACAGTCCTATTTGTATAGTCATTCCCTTTTTGTTAGTCTTTAGTGTTTTGTCTTTTAAATACACATTTATGTCTTTTTCACATGGCTTCATGCATACCTCTAATTGTTTACTTAGGATTTTACCTAAGTAGATTAATTGTATTATTGCATATAACTGTTTAAAAGCTTTGATAAATATTGCCAAATTGCTTTCAGAAAATTGTATTATGTTAACTACCACCAAGTAGACCACTTCAAAATAGCAACTAAACTACAGACCATCATCATTGAGAATCGCCTGAAGTCTAGCTGAAGAGAATCCTATAACTGAGGACATATGGAAGAAGCCACTTTGAGACTGGTAGGAGGGCGGGGGTCGGGGAACTTGGAAGGCCTGGTCCCGCACACTTGTGTGGAAGGTAAAAATCGGAAGGGCTATCTTGACTGTGGAGTTCCCCCCTGAAGAGCAAGGTGTCTCAACCCCACACCAGGCTCCCGAGGCCAGAGTTTCAGCGCCAGGAAAGGAAGTCCCTATAACTTCTGGCTTTGAAAACCAGGGGAGATTGTGGCTGAGTTAGATGGAGAGTAGCTGAATTCCCAGGCATTCCTCTTAAAGGGCTCCTATATAGACTTACTTACTGACAGACTCACACACTCTGAGCATACATACAGAATTATTTTTAAAAACATAAACATACTATTGTCACTATTTATCATGGTAATGATTTTTCTTTAATAAAATCCAAGTCAATAGAAAAAAATACCACCCAGTATCACATGATAATTTTCATTTTGCTCTATTAGTAGCAACAATTATTACTCTTAATAAATAGCTAATTTTTTTTAGATAAAGTATTGCATTTTGATTAAATCAGCACCCTTCATCATACATTATTAATGAAGGAAGTACTAGATAGAATAATATTTGAATAAAGTTAAGCAAGAAAGTTTAAATTTTATTACATTGGATCAATTAGGTATGAAACTACATGGAATACTTAACAAATTTTTGATGTCCAATATATCTATATTCAAATTTCAGCTACAATACCATAGCTTTGTACTCTAAGTATATTATTCTTTGAACTTTTGTTTGCTCACCTGTTAAATGGGATAATAATGTCTACATCACAAGCCTATTGTAAGAATTAAAGAAGAGAATGTATTTAACATATTTGGCACTAAATCTGAAATGCTCAAGACATTCAGAACAGTAGCTATTACAGTGAAAAAATATGCAGTAACTTAAGAGTCCAACTGTGAGGGATAGACTTAAGAACATGGAAACGAACATTACAATGGAATATTTATAGACATAGACAAAGTTTATAATATATAGTTAAGTATAAAAAGCTTAAAAGAATTCAAGGAATGATTCCATTCTCATTATAAACATATGCATTAAATGTACATACATATATACATTAAATACATACTTACATATATACATACATATTTTTTCTGCAGAGAAAAAGAGAATATAAACAGGTGATCTGTGGACTTATAGGGCATTTTTATTTCTACTTGTTTTGTGTTTTATAAATTTTAGACAATAAATTGTACTATCTTCGGACAATAATATTGTACTATTTTTGATAGACAAAGTATTTGAATTGATTTGATGGCTATATTATAAAGAGAAACTGAAAGCAGAAGGCTGATTCAAAGAATGTCTTAAAACTAGTCATCAGGTAACAAGGTTATGGCATTGTGAACTGGAAAATAATCTGCCAGATATTTTGATGGAAGAAAGGAAAAGTCACTTGAGATGTTTAGATATTATAGACAAATTAGAAGGAAGAATCAAAGATTATTTTATCTTGGAGGACTATGCTGTGGTTGTACCCTTAACAAAAAGTGTAATGGGGCACCAAAGTCCACCATGAAGCCACTGGTAAACATACAGAATTGTCATTAAAGGGTTAGGAGTATGTGAGATTGCAGAAGCACTAAGAAAATATACATGAATGCAGAGCTGACAGCAGATGCACTTTTTTGATTATTCTTCGTATGTCTTTCATTGTTTGCCATTCTTTTTATTTCTCCTTCATTATTTGTTTACTCTTTATTCTCTTGCCTTTTTTCTCCTCTGATTTTGGGATTTACACTCTAGAAAGGTGGACAATGCAGAAGACAGGGTTTGCATATCCTACCTAAAGAGATGGAAAGTAGCAAAATTAGAGGGACAATGAGCAACTCAAAGACTTGAGATTGTGAAGGCAAGAAAGCAAAGAGTAGTCTATGTGTTCATTAGTCCAAGTTCGGAATAAGGCAAAACAAATCTACAATTAGTCTTGCCAGAAACTTTAAAACTATTTTTGATTTTCAAAAATATTTTAACAATTTACTAGTTATCAGATTGTGTGATGAATATATGTGGAAAATCAAGTTTTGCAAAAAGATGTTGGTGAATATTAATGATATATATGATATATATGTATATACATTGAAAATTGCTCTAGTTTAAGGATAGATGAACTGAGATTTCAGAAGGCTGGAATAGTATATAGGTGTATCTTTAGATCTCAGTGGTAATCACATCTGAGAAAAAGATTTATATGCAGGCTACAAGATTTATTTATATCTTCCTAGTAAAATCTACCTTGTACATAATTTATTCAGTTCACATAGTTAAATATAGCAGTCAAACTTATTATTGATATCATATAAGACAATGATAAAAATTTCTACTGAATTTACCTTTATGATATATAACTTGAAGTTTGAGTATCTATCTTTTGCTATTCTTAACAAAAAAATAAATAAATAGAATTGCAGGTAAGTGTTTTATATAAGTAACTTTCAAACTTGATGTGCAATCATGAAATTTAACTCTTCAACCCACAACTAACTGATGTGCTTTTTAGTCCTTCTGAAATGATAAAAATATTAATTTAAAAGAATTAGTTTCCAAAATGCAATTGCTCTTTTACTACATGTTAAATAGTTATCTTTAATCATGTAAAAATTAAAACTTGGATAATTATCTGTTCTTATAATTTTTGCTTAGTTTATCAGTAGTAAATCAGCGTACTAGAATTGCGAAAAAAGCACATTGATAAATTACGCCAAAATTATCAAACTTGGGTTTATCTTTTAACATGTTTTGTACTTCCTATTCTTTGTCTAGATTCTTTTAGGATAAAGTGAAACCATATCCCATGTTCAGTATGTGAATTCCTCAGATATTACCAAGAGCTACTAATATTTTTCTTAAAATTATTTAGCCTTCTCACAAAAAGCGTAAAAAGAGGATTGTGAAAATGGTTCCCTCTTGAACGTGGTGCTTAGAGCGGATGTTGCTGGCTTAATTTTATTCTAAATTATATCTTCTTTGGAATGAATCAAAACATCACTGGAAGTTCTTAAGGATGAGAAATAAATTGCCAGCTGTGGAAAAGGACATGTACTCCTTGTTTTATTGTATTCACTGCCCATGAGCTCCTCCTTACTGTGCTAGAATTGACTTGACTTGCATTTTGTGCTGAGAAAGGAAATATATTGTCTCTTTATGCTGTTTTCATAAATGAGTTGTCAATTGATTATATTTGATTACTATTGTGTGGTGAATGAGAGCTGACAATATTAAAATTTATATCAAACAATTTTAATTTAGAGACTTGATTAAAATGAAATTATTTCAATCTGTTTTTAATATGGTAAAGTATTCCACTAGTCTGGCTTATGTGGGGCCTCTGTTATCTTGCAGCTCAGTGTGGTGGTGCTATGTCAGATTTCAGTGGTGTGATCCTCAGCCCTGGGTTTCCTGGAAACTACCCCAGCAGTTTAGATTGCACATGGACAATAAAGCTGCCCATAGGTTTTGGTATGTATGTTTAAAACACATAAAGAGTTTTCGATGTCATTAAATCCATCTTTAAAAAGAAATATCAACGTGTAATATAAAATATTCGCAGATTACACTTTAGTCTGGTTTACATACAGTTACGTAAATTGAAGAGTGAAATTTGGATCATTGTTTCTTAAACCAAATACATTTCACCTGGAATACTTGGACAATTGAAAGAATATGGGCATTTTCTAATTTCATAGGATAGGTAGATAGATATATGGTAGATTAGATAGAGAGATAGAGAGATAGATAGATAGATAACTTCATATTTTCCAGTCAATATGTGTGGATACATCTTGAGTTAGATTTGTGTGGCAATGATATATTCAAGATGATTTTCACATATAATTGTTTTTTGTAACTTTTTTCTTATTGTTTATACCAAGTAGCATATAGATAAATTATTTTCTGGTAATCTATTTAATTCATCCAATATTCATTGTAAATAATAAGATTTTGCATTTGAAAAGTAGTACAAATTTTCTAATATTAGGTTTAAATACCCATGTAAATGTAGTACCTTTCTAACTCTAATAATATAATTCCCAGGGTTTTGGATATATTGCAATATACATATATTGCATTTAATAAATTCTTTCTCACTCGTATATCACAAATGTATTTTCTTGCAGCTTCTTCATATCACATCAGTCTGTAAATGCATAAATAGAAGTGCTAGATTGAGGATACACTTGTTTATTAAGTCACAGAAAGAAGACCAGGATGAGTCTATACAAAACTGCCTAGTTTTGTATAGAAAAGATCATTGTACAATGTGATAAATACCACTTGTGATGAATGTATATAGTGGGATGATATCATACACATGTGCTCCTTGAAACACAAACCTGGTAGATTTAGAGCAATTAAGAAGTTCTCTTCTATCTTATTGAGGACTGAATTTAAGTGCCTGATTACCCAAAAGCATCTACAGCCTCAAAATACAAATTCATATTTAAAGTTTTATATAAATTCACAGAAACTCATGGTTTTGACAATTCTTTACTGAGTACATATTATACTTCAGATACTGTGTTAAGTGCTTGGATAAAAGGCATAGTAAGTGAAACAAACTTTTTATGTTTTCTCTGATAAGTTAAAGTCACAATGAGGAGACAGATAGTCACATATACTATTAAAGTATAATAAAGACTACAGGCTTGTATTTAGTGTGACTCTCCAGCCTAGTCTAGGAAAGGTAGGAAAGTCTTGTCTAAGGACATGATGCCTGAACTGTGACTTTAAAGACAAGAGCTGAACAGAGGGTCGGTCCATGGGGAATGGGAAGGAAATTCTTGGTAAACAGAGTGACACATGGAAAGATGCAGATTAGAAAGCTGAAGAAATTCAACAAGCCTGAACACTATGTGACAACTGGTCTGAGGTCTGGGGGGAATAGGAAGCCACTGACAGAAAGATGCATAGGGGTTTTCTAATTAGGATTATTCTGTCTACAATATGGAAACATCATTAGTTTGAAGTAGTCAAACTCTGTCCACTGATTGAAAGAGAATACTGACAAATATGAATAACAGATTTGAACCAGTATGGCTATACTTATATGTCTTTTACTAGTCACTTAAGAGGGCTCATCCCATGTTTCTCATGGAACTAAGTGAATTATTTTAAAATACATTAATAAATATATTTTCAATAGTTCCATTATATCATATTCAACTTACCTGAGGCTGATGCCTCCTTGATTTTAAATACCAAGTTCATTAAGAATTAAAAAGAAAACATGTGTCTATTTTAGACATGAAAACATCTGAGACTTTTTCTGATCCTATTACATTTGATTACATAACCCCACTGTTATCTTTGAGTTTTGGTTAAATCAAATATTAGAGAATGCAGTCAGCATTAATGTAATGGCTGTGTGTAGAGTCAGAGGGAAGATAATCAGGGGGGTCATTTCATAAATTATATAAATGTCTAAGCAATGTACTATACACTTGAAACTAATAATAAAATAAAATTTAAAAAATACAATACACAAAAATACCCTTTAAAACATTTTAAAAATATTAGTTCTAATGTATTTGAACAAATACTTTATAATTTTTTAAAAGAAAATCGAATACAGATCAACAGTTATAAAAATATTTTCTCATTTTTATGAAACAATTATTGATAGGATAATTTGTGAAAAGGGGACCTAGGGAAAATTTTTAGAAAAAAATATGCACATCTTGGGGCCTCACATATTAAGGTAGCATGTTCAAAGTTCCAAGAAGTTTTCTAATTGTACAAGAACATGTTTAATATTTTAAACCATGTTTTCAATATTTCCCGTAATTATTTGTTCTTGGAACTCTTTTTCTGTGTAAAAAAAGAATTTCCATGTAACTCTTTTTCAAGTGACAAAATGTGACTTTACTTGAGAACCACAATATAGTTATTAGGAGCAGGGGCTCAAAAGCCAATGTATCTGAGTTTGAATTTCAGCTTTTAAGTTGTATAAACTTAGCATATTTGTTTAGCTTCTCTGTGCCTCAGTTTCCTCATTCTCATGAGTAACTGTGAGCATTAAATAAATTAGCACATATAAACACTTAAAACAGCACCTAGAAAAAAGAATAATAAATGTCAGATTTTATTATTAACTATTAGAGAATAATAGTAAGAAAAAACATTGAATTCACTAAAATTGAATATTAATTGAATTGGGCACATATATCTTAATGAGGCTTTTATTTTATTTTTTTTCCATCCTAAAGAGACTTTACTCTCTTATCTTTTAGTTTTGTTTCTAAAGATATTGAGACTATTTTAAAATATGACAGCATATAACAATGATCACTAGGTTTTATTAAAGCTATTATATAAAATTTAGCATTACCTTCTGAAAAGTTAAGTACTAAAAGAACACGCTGATAAATTATATGCCTCTGAATGATACTTCAGAGAAGCTAATTTATCCTCTATAGATGAATGACTAATTTCTAATGCAAATGTGGAATTCGATTATATTAATGTATAAAAACTTTGCAATTATATTTTGGCCTCAAATTGTCATTTTACAAAATACGGATTACTGAGTGGCTTTTTACCTTTAAAAAGTGATTTATATCATTTTAAATAATATTAAAAAACAAGAAAGTCAATTTCTTGGTTAGTTTTGCTATGGTTACCTTGTAGTAAAATGAAAGAGATTTTCCCATGTGACAGGGAGCATTTGAGAGCAGTCATGTTACTTTGACCTATAGCAAACCCATGGCACAGATGTAGAGAATATGCCTTTCAAATGGAAACATATCTAAGTACATTAATGTGAGTGTGTATATTTGTGCATTATCTGCATTTAATATGGTAAAAAAATAAAATAAAGTAGTATTAATGTTTGCTTTTCTTCTTTAGGTGTACATCTCCAGTTTGTAAATTTTTCAACAGAAACCATACATGATTATTTGGAAGTAAGAAGTGGATCCTCAGAAACTAGTACTGTTATTGGCCGACTTAGTGGTCCTCAAATACCATCTTCATTATTTAGCACAACCCATGAAACCAGCCTATATTTTCACAGTGACTATTCACAAAACAAACAAGGGTTCCACATTGTGTACCAAGGTGAGATGGATAATAAAAAATGAAAATTTATTTTACCCAAAATCAGCTACTAACAATTTAACTAATGATAAATATTTTCTATATTCTCTTTTACTAAAACAAACCTAAACCAAAGCAAGCTTCTGCTAACAAGATTTTGTTATTGAAATTTTCTGTCAACTATGTAGGGGGGATGATGTCTTTCTGAGACCTTAGAAAATCCTAATCATGAAAAAAGGATTGAATTAATACTGAATGAAATTAAGCAAGTTAAGGCAAGGCAGTTAAGCAACGCAAGCTATCAAAGACTTTGATTTTATGTAAAAATTAATATTTTGAAAAGATATTTTGTAGCACTTATCTATTATATGTAAAATTATTTTATTTTACTTTATAATAGAATAATATAATGTTCCTCAATTCCATTCTATGGTCATGAAAATATGAAATAAATATTTTGACAATCATAATACATTAGGCTTATTTCTCATATAAAAGTGCTACATGACCCTGAGCAAGATTTTTATCCCTTTTGAATAGTTTGGACTGAGATAGACCTAGGCTCAAATGTTGATTCTCCCTGTTCAATACAAAGTGGCTTAGGCTCAGCTCTATTTTTTTCATTTGCATGATGGCATTAGTAATAGTATATCTTAGATAAGTTGTTTTGAATTTTATATGATAAAATGAATTGAAAATATATACCATGATATATATCATTAGTAATTATTTAGTGCATTTCAACTATTTTTATTATAATATTTCAGATCTAAAAGCCTAAGATTTGAAATCAAATAAATTTATGATTTTTACGCAATATAATTCCACTGAATTCAATGTTTAACAAAATAATTTAAAATTTGTTTAGATCTCCACCCTAATTATTAAAGTATTTCACGAATGTGTAATACTTTTGAATAGGAGCTCCACAAGAGCAGGGACCTTTGTGTTGTTCATTGATGCATCTCAAGTGCCTAGAACAGTGAAAGCGCAATAAATATTTGCTGAAAAAAAGTATGTACCCAAAAAGACATTTAAGTGTAGTTAAAATAGACATCATAACATCCAACCACGAGTCCAAAATGATTATAATCTGTATCATGTTTGCATACATAATTGAAGAGCATTACATTACACATCATCTTTTATATAAAATAGGAGTCATTTTTACAACCTCTCAGTACAAAAGTAACTATGTTCCCAAGAAATTTAATTATTTTGGAAACAACTGGTCACCTGATTTTCTCCTTTGCTTCTAGGAGACTCAGCTGCGCTAGTTGTCCTTCCCTAGCAAGTGTACAGGGCCTCGTGCCAGCACTTCGTTGTTTAACCTTAAACCTGGCTTCATCTTCTTTTCCCTGCCCTCATTTTCCCTCTCTTTCAAGATGGTGTTCTTTTTGAATGATGTAAAACTAGAATTTGAACTTCATTAATTGCATTTTTCTGCCAACGTGTCCTTAAAGATTTGTTATTTTCATAATAAAAGCATAAAAGATAAAGAATCTGTTACTGTTATTGATCTAATATTAATATTATTGACATGAGCCATAATGTATTACAATCATCAGTAGATATTATTTTGAAGCTATCTTTTACTGCATTTATATCATTGAGCTTATAGCATTTTTGAGAAATAGGTTATTTGTACAGAGTCACCGAATCAATGTTATTTTCAGATTATCTTGTGCTTAGACTTTAAGAACTTTCTGAATTTTGGAAAAATGCATAGTAATCACAAGTTACAGACTCAAACTTTATATACAGTGTTTATTACGCACTTACTACGTGAAGAGCAATGGGCAAAGCTTTTGAGATACAATGATGAACAAAACAAACAAGAACTTAGATCTCATGTAGAATGTAGGACAAGAGGAATATGAACAAATAAACATGCAGATATACTACAGTGCCAAAAATACCATGATAACTAAAGAACAACATTCATATTAGAAGGAAATTTGTTTCTTAGTACTTTATATTATTAGATAACTTCTTTGGAGAAACTCAAGAGAGACATATTGTGGCTTGTTTCTTTTAGAGAAAAAAATAATAAAAAATAAAAATGACTCAGAATTAGGCTTACATATGTTTATTTTATTCTATGTATATGCAATGTAACTAGGAAGAAATTACATTCTATGTAAAGAAATCAGAATGTTTGATTAAAATTGTAGCTTATAATTTGGATAGATTGCATAAGTGGATGAAGAAACCAAGTGCATTTTTGTGAATTGTACTAACATTTTAAATGTGAAAATTGTAGACATGAGAAGAAATTCATATCATATTCTCATTGACATCAATTACCATAAACCTGAATTACTATTTATAATCAACTATAAGCAGCACTGTATTCTGCAAATAGTTCTCATCTGTGGTCTTCCAAAATTTAGAAAGGAAAAATGTCTTTCTTTTTCCCTTTTGTAGCCTATCAGTTGCAAAGCTGTCCTGATCCACGCCCATTTCGAAACGGCTTTGTGATCGGCAGTGACTTTACTGTGGGCCAGACGGTTTCATTTGAATGTTTTCCTGGATACACACTGATTGGAAATCCAGCTCTCACTTGCCTTCATGGACTGAGTCGTAATTGGAATCATCCACTTCCAAGGTGTGAAGGTATGCTGATCTGTGTTTAATAATTTTTGTTTTGGCAGACTTTTATGTCTTCCTCTTGAAATAGCTTGCTAAACATACAATCTCTCTTTCAGTTGAATAATTATAGTTAGTACACAGATCAAACCCTTAACACTCCATAATGAATAACTGATTTCATCGTTATTGGCAGAAGTCCTAACATTCCCCATAGGAAGTGAAAATAAAGTCAACACTTTAGAGCTATTTAGTGTGTGTCTGTGTGGATGCACATGCGTGTGCTTAATAGTCATTCTTAGAAAAACCAGTAACCCAGATAATGCTACTGAATTTGGGCTCATTTCCTTTAAAAAAAAAAAAAAACACCTGTCAAATAAAAATGCCTTTAACCTCTTATAAGGCCTTATGTGTATACACGATATAGGCAAATAAGAATTGCACGGTGTACATATTAATAAAATATTTAAAAAGAAGAAAAGACAATGTAATTTACTAATCTAGTGATAGTTAATAACTATAGCATGCCTCATATTGAAAAATAAATAAAAACTAACTATATTTCATTCATGGTTTGAAACTTCATTTTGTATATGTAATTGATGTAAAAGCAATACAGATGTATTTTATACTGCCTAAGAGATATGAAGTATTTGCTTTTTCTCTATGATTAATTCATTGCTATTTTAACATTTTGTTTTATATCTTTTCCTTAGCTCTTTGTGGAGGGAATATAACTGCAATGAATGGCACCATTTACTCTCCTGGGTATCCTGATGAATATCCCAACTTTCAAGACTGTTTATGGCTTGTAAGAGTACCGCCTGGGAATGGAATCTACATCAATTTTACTGTCCTTCAAACAGAACCAATTTATGATTTCATTACTGTATGGTAAGCCAAGATCATTGTTGTTGATTGATTCAACTGTATGTAACCGTGAAACGAGGTAGGAATGAAAATATATTATGATTCTTTGTAAACAAAATTGCCATCTGATATTTAAATTAGTATAAGTAACTGAGGGTGACAGTATGTGTTTTGTAGAATGAGAAAAATAAAAGAAATAGGTTTTGGCTTATTTGCTCATAAAGTAGCTGAATACTGAACAAAACTTTATATGTGAAAAAATATTTAAATTTATTATTAAATAAATATGCAAAAACAGGGAACTAACATCAGAGTAAGTTTAAGGTAAGAGAGGTCTCTACAAAACCAGTGAAAATTAAAAGGCTATATTCAAATCACAATTATTTAATATAACTATTGAATTTCTGTCATAATAATGTTATAAAATATATTTGTATTGTTATCCTGTTAATTAAAACTTTTTTATTTAAAACTATATCACAAAGAAAATATCTGAACTAATTATTGACAGTCGATTAATAGAACTATTGTATGCGTTCTATGATTCTTTCTAAATTTAACAGTCAATGATATTAAAGCTTATTTTGAAGAAAATAAAAGTTGGGCAAACCTCAGTCATTTGGGAGGCTCTGGATTGTAGTCAGGATACCAAAGACAATGTAATTGATCACTGCTAATATGGATGCATTTCACTTAGGTAAAAATGTGATCTATTTTTATACTTCACATTTTTAAAATTTATCGCCTAAATAAATATAAAATAAACCAATATGATTTGGCATTCATTGGTTACCTAATCTATTGCAGCTTTATCATCCGATATGGTATATCTTTATTAAACTTTGTGGAAAACTCTCCAAAAAATTAATCTCAACCTCTCTCTCCCCCGTCTCCACTCTGTCTCTCTCTAACAGGGATGGGCCAGATCAAAACTCGCCTCAGATCGGGCAGTTCAGTGGCAATACTGCTCTGGAATCAGTCTACAGCACTTCAAATCAGATTCTAATCAAATTCCACAGTGATTTCACAACAAGTGGCTTTTTTGTGCTCAGTTATCATGGTTCGTATTATCTAAGAGTTTATATTTCATTTGGTACTGTTTAAAATTATACTGGAAAATTTGAATGTAAAATATATTTAACTAATAATTGAAAAGGTATTAGAATTTGACATTTTGTTTATCATTTCAAATATATTTACTTGCAAGAAAGACCTCTTCTAAGAGTCTAGGGACATTAAAATGTAAGCAAATGAAATTAGAAATAAATTAGCCAGTAATTACCAAGTAGAAAATAATCATTTTTTTACAAGGAAACCAATAAAAGAGAACCAGCTGTTCATATTTTATTATGTGTAACTTTGAGACATTAATAGATTTTTCAATACAAAATGTTTAAATTTGTAATTCAACCTGCTGTGAGTCTTTCTAAAATTAGCATCTAATACTTTTATGCTCTAGATCTTATTACTCATTCATTTATACTCTTGTTTCAAAACTATATCTAGTCTAGAATCTTACAGTTAAGTGATTAATCTAGATTATTAAATTCATAGCTTTTACTCCTATGCAATAATTTATGAAGAGTTTCAATTTTAATTCTTTGTATAAAATTATTCTGGGTCCTCTCCTCCTAACATTAACTTTTTGAAAGAACATGAGATGGTTTCACAAAGTTTTAAAAAATTTGCTTTTATATCAAATTGATTTTATCTCATTATAAATAAGAAAATGCTTATTTCTAAAAATTACATTCCTTTATCTGCTATGATAGTATTTCCATGAAACACATTCAGCATCATATGACTTTTTCAGACCAATTCCATGAGTATTTCACTAGATCAATAAGCTGCTAAATTAAATTTGCAAGTTATATGAACATTTGCAACATGAACATTTACTTTGTCCATTACATTAATGTACAATTTAATATTTTTACTTTTTTAAAATAAAAGGTAAAACTTTGATACTCAAATCTTACATTCCATAAAAAGTATGGTAAGTCAAATATGGTTATGCTCACATTAAAGAATATCAGGTTTAGAAATAGTCAGAGAATAGACCAGAAAATATTTGGATTGTTTAGTCTCAGCATTTATCAGCCAGTTGATGGTACCCAGACCCATAGCTGCTAGAGTTTCATGTACACTCCAGCATAGCCAGTTCGAAGGGGATGTTCAGTTCTAACTTTTATTCAGGCTTTTGATTTTTTAATAATTAATTTATCTTTTTTACTGACTTAGTTATTGATGCTGGTAATATGTAAATACCGTCAGAGTATAACAATAGCTTTATTACTTTGACAGATAATCATAACTCAGGAAGCAATAAATTAAAGAATAGTTAAGATCAAGAAATGAATTAGTTGCTGAACTGCATTTTGTACATTTTCTCTCTTCGTGGATCCCTGTATAAATTTCGGTTATTTTGTGCCCTGCCTGAACAAATGGCAAAGAAGGGACTGTTCACTGATGGACCATAAATATTTATAAGATAACCTTATAGGGAGTGTAAAATTCTTATAAATCTTAGGAGATATTTCAAAGGGGAAATATTGTCAGAGAAAAGGATGCATGTGTATGTGTAGTCACATAGAAAACATTACAATTACAGAATGTTTGTATACATACAAAATTTGAATGTGGATTTACATAGATACTTATTTAAATGTATACATGTATTCTCATACCAAACTGTTTCACCTGTTTTATAACTAGGTTTTGAGTCATGTATAACAAGAACAGAATTAGCTTAGGGATAATAAGATCAAGTATTTATTTAGTGCTTCATTGTCCAGTTGACTTTGGACAAGTTACTCTTTCATCTCCACTTTTTTTTTTTTTTAGCTATACAACAACATGGTAGGATTGCTGAGTGGACTAATGAAATACTGTATATGTAAAAATTACTGTAATTACTGGCATAAATTAGGTTGAACCATATGAAATTTTTGGTCAAAAAGTGCTCAGTATTGGCAGTGTTGCATAGCTCAACGCAAGTAATTGCTATCATTATTACTATTAACAGTATTATGTTGCAGAGATGATATGAGAATTGGAGACTGTGGATGATATACAGTTAACATAGTGCCTGGCAGAGCAGATGTTCAGTAAATGTTCCTTTCATTACCATACCTTATCTTACATTTTAGATTTTCTAATAGAGCATTTATTTTATACTTTAAATTTCATAATAAGGCACACACGCCAGAGCCTAAAGAAGCCTGACATTTGAATCAACATCTCTGGGAACTTTACCTAAACCTTAAAATAACCTTGAAATTTGAGAATGTAGCCAGGGCTCATGTTAAAATTGACCGATGCCTTACATTTTACCAGCCCTCTCAGGATCATTTTCCTAAAGCACTGCTTTCATCCTGACTCACCTTTTCAAGAATGCATGTTGCCTACATTAAATCAAATTTAAAGCTACCCTGCAGTCTGGTTCACTTAATCTCCTTGCCCAGTGTCTACCTTGACTCCAGTCAGATTCATTCTCTTGCTGCCTCCTAAACTTCCATTCTTAAATGGTTTCTTCCTCATCTTCAGTTCCGTAAGTCTCTCCACCTTAAGTCCCATTTCCTCCATTTCTTGATATTTTGAACTCATAGGGATCACTATCATCTTCTCTATGATTGCACTTACTCTTTTAACCAAACTTTTAAGAACGTGATTACAATATGGTATATTGTTTTATAAGCCTGTGAGTTTAATAATAGTGAATGCTTTTTTTAGGGCATAGATCACATTTCTGCTTCTTAACCCTTTTGTATTTTTATTACTGACTGATCATTTAGATTTTATTTATTAATATATTTTTAATATGTTTGAAAAAAGAAAAAAAGTGTTTTTTTCTCTCTAATCTGACTTCCTTTATGAGATTCAGCCAGCCATCTGTTCTTTATAAAATATCATTTTTATAAAGTCTTTCATGATCAAAAATACCATTCATAAAAAGCTTTGCAAAATGAAATTTCTGTGCGGTGAAAAAAATAGGACAGGTATAAATGTTGAGGCCCTTTATCTCATATATGAAATTGCTTCTTCGTCAGAGGAAATGTTTTTATCTCTCTCTGTATTGCCATAATTGTAATTCCCTAAAGTAAAAAGTGAGAATTTCTGATATCTTCCATAGACTCAAGATGGGGTTGGCTTATAAGAAATAATAACAACATTCGATCCTAATCAGTGACTCTTTGAAAGTAAATTATACAAAACCTATTTAAACATGTTTTTGCAGACACCGACTTTGAATGATACTATAATAGCGATAGGTGCCATTGACTGAAAACTTAATATGTGTGGCATTATGCTAGGATACTTTCCATGTATTATTGCTAATTTTTGTAATAACTCTATAAGGTAAGTATTATTTCCATTTTAATAATAAAATAACTGAAAGAAAAAATTTGTAACCTACATAAAGCCAGAGAACTAATAAGTAGAAGTGTTGCCTAGAATATGAAATAGATCTGACTCCAAAGAATGACCTCTTTTAAATAATGACAACAGCAACAGCAATAAAATAATAGCTAAAATATATTGAGTTTTTACTGTCAAACAATGTCCTAAACTAGTATTATCTCATGCATAAATTATATTTAATGGTATGTAAACCTAATTTTTATTTAAAATTTTAGCAAAAATTATTATTAGTTTTAGCAAAGTGATAGGTCATCTTATTTTCTAGAAAATAGTCCTCTTAATTACCGCTTAGAGCTTCACACTTCTTATGCTTCTCTTCCCCAGGACCTAGAAGCTGACCACAACATGTTGGTATGTTTATCACAACTTAGTGTGTTTTCTTTATTGTTCCCAAAATGTGCTGTGGTCACTATGTGAAGAGAACATAAGTTTTACTGAGAGTCTGACTTATGCCAATCAAAACATCCAGGGGGCTATAGTATAGCCAGGATACATATCTATTAATTTAAAATAGAAGAGATCATTTTAATGCTTAAAATCATTATCCAAGTCACCTCTTTTTCTAATCTCAGAGTATTCGGGTACTCAATTTACACTCAAATTTTCTTAGTGATCATAATATAGTTTAACAATTTATATTATTTATTGTTTTCTATTATTGGCATATCTGTGAAAGAATTAGTTGATTTTATGTTGACTTTCAGACTATTTTTAAGATTTGCATTGAAAAAACCTGAAAAGTCTTTTATGGTTACGTAAAATAATGACAGAGTTTACTTTACGATAAATGCTGTATTGGGGCACAAGTTTATTTAACTCCATAAAGTCTCATCCTAAAAGAGACTGCTGCATATATAAGCATACATTTTATATAAAATATAAATCACCATTGCTTTGAACTGTGTGACTCTATACCTCACACAACCTAGAGATCTTACCTCCTTTTGTATTTCAATAGATAATATATTAAACTCATAAAGTGTTCCATTGTTTGATGTCCAGAGAGTATAGGGGGTATAGACAACATACAGTTATATATGAATACCTATGTTGAAGCTAAACACCAAACTAGTAGTAAAGCTGTTGTGAGAAAAAGATAATGTAATTTACTATTATTTAATGATCACCTAGTGATTACTTAAATGATTAAAAGTCATGTCAAAAGTGCTTACTATATTTTGACATTTTGCTATATGTGCTCACTTATTGATAAGTGATGGTATTTATTTTCTATAATATCTTACTCTCAGTCCCCTCCAGCTAAAGTCCATCAGGAGTACACCTTTAATTAAATAAAGTTGGGTTTATTGGCTCATTGTAACGAGTGAGACAATGCACCGTGTGGGACCCCATGGCAGCTCAGTTAAGACGGTGTTAGGGGAAACTAGTAATGGGATTTGGACTATGCAGGATGGTTCTGGAAAGGTTCAAGGAGGTATGCTTTTCCCCTGGAATGGGTTCTATTAGAACATTGGAGCAGTTCTATAATTGGGTATCTTAATAATTATTTTTTCTAAAAGGTAAAAGGAATGGAACATGCCTAAAACTGTAATTGATATGAAAACAACATTCACTCATACTAACTGAGATGGAAGAATCTTGGTCATTTAGGTGGTTTGGACTGTATTGTTGTTTTGT